AGAGAGAGAAAAAGTTAGGTTTGGGATAAGTTGCATAAAAAATATAGTCTTGAGGTTTTTTGTAATTTTCCCTTGATAATATGTAAGGGTGTGGTTTCTATAAGGCTCCAATATTAAGCAATCCAATTAAGATGCACCTCCAAATTTTATCATAACATATAGCTTTCGTGTAAAAAATTCTTAAGATCATCTGAAAAGCTATTTTCATATTTAATTATAAAATTTTAAACTCCAAAAATGGTTAAAATCAAGTAGATTTATAAACATATGAAAATCTTGAAAATAGACGATTGAGATAATGCGTTGCAAGATGCACTAATGCGTTGCAAGATGCACTATTTCTAGAACTTAAAATCTTTTTTTTTTTTTTTTCATATTCATTAATCTCGATGTCGAGATGATCAATTCGAGGGTTTTTCAACAATGGAAAAATAATTTCCGATGGATTTTTGAGGTGCATTTGTAATTCTACATTTTAAGGTTTGCAACCTTATATAAACTTTTTCTAGTGAGTAAAGCCTCTCTTTATAACTCATCAAAAATTGCAATTTGAAAACCTTTACATTGATCATCTCAATCTGAATATTATGGTTGTGAAAAATTAGAATTTCAAGTTTTAAAAATAGTGTACATGGTAACAAATTATCTAGACCATCCATTTTATACTAAAAATAAGTGTACATAGATTCCCAAGATCTGTATATTTTTTTATTTAAATTTTTTTTTGTTGGTGTTGAAAATTGATATTAGAGCCATGCAGACTTTCGTTGCTAAAAGTGCTTTGTGGACAAGGATCTAAGGTGAGGTTTTATTTTGTTTTAATAAAGCTTAGGCATTTTAGAAACTTCATCATTGAATTTTGTTTACAGATGTACTTCAGTGTTGACTTGGAAAATATTTTTTGGATGGGGTTTATGTGAGTTAGCCGACTCGTGCTGTGCTGTCGCACCCCAAGTTTACTAACATTCTTGAAGTGCGACAGACAATTCTTATACTATCTATATATATAGCAAATTTAAAATTTCTACCACTATATTCGCACTAAAACCGATTTTTCCATTTCTTTTAATCTGTACAAAGTCTACCCACAACTGATATTAACATGAAGGGATATAACAAAAATTACAATAGTGCATTTGATCAAAAGTTACAAGGGGAATGTCAATCATGCCTACAAATTCTTCAAAGATGGCCCTGCTGTATTCGAACTATGAAACTGCAATTATCTTGAAAAATATTTACCATTGTTTGATGAGTTTGGCTACTTAGTAAGTAATCATCATGGTCCTAAAAAAAATAATCATGGTTAGAAGATATAAACATTTTCTGAAGAATGAATGTTACAAACCACCTGAGGAAGAATTGGGAGAAAAAACATTTATAGATAACAATTGCATTTTCACAAATACACAGTTAAACATAATCCACATGATTGAAATGCATATAAACATTTTAACAAAAATGTATAATTCAAATGATTTCACAAAATACCTTACTGGCGTCCCAAGTAGGTCATTATATACCCCACCAGAGTCCTGATGGGTCCAAACAATCCCTGCAGGTCCAAACATACCTCACCGGCCTACCGGATGAGTCCAAATAGCTCCAACCGGATAGGTCTAAACAATCCCTGCAAGTCTAAACATACCTCACCGTCATCTCGGATGAGTCCAAATAGTCCTTATCGACGTAACCGGATAGGTCCTAACAATCCATGCAGGTCCGATCATACCTCACCGGCGTCCCAGATGAGTCCAAATAGTCCGTACCGATATAACCAGATAGGTCCTAAAAAATAATCATTTCATAGGCAATACTACAATCAAGTGAAAAAAAATCAGTTTTTCAAATAATGAGGCAGACATTTACATATGAATTTTACAATGTCTAAATATTCAAAAACAGTAGAAGGAAATCTCATAATTGTACTAAAACCGGAAATATCACATTTATCTCTAATAATTTACAGTATTTAAAATTCTGAACAATCGACAGGAAAATTAAATTTATTTCTAAGAAGTTACAGCGTTTAAAATACCTAACAATAGATAAAATATCACAATTTTACTGTAAAAAAAATGGATTATTTTTCAAGACAATGAAGTCACTTACACATAAAATTTATAAAATAAAGATGATGGACTGAAATATTACTATTTTAAAACCAAACTATTTTTCAGGAGCATGATGTCACTTACTTATGTGTCACTTTGAAAAGAGGAATTGCGGAGGCCATTTTCATTTTTAGAGTCTTTGCTCCGTTTCTGAAACCATAGGTAACAGTTTGTGGCCCCTTGGCATCACAAGGACTAGGCACAGTGCATAACTAGGAAGAAGACAAGATGATAGATTTGCCATTAATGGAACCGTAAGAAACGATACATTCACTCTTAAAGCTACTCTGACTATCCAATAACAAATCTTTTTGAAATCTGGAAATGAAAAACAAAGTTGTTCTTATGGCTGAAACCCAATGACAGCCATGAGTATGAGTAGTGTATTCAAATGCTAGCTTCATTATTCTCTGTGACCCAACTATTTACAGGGTTTTCACTCCAAACCGGGAAGGCCATGAAGCTTGATGCTATGAAAGATAAAAGGCAAGGCAAGGATTGTGAGAGGTCGAGAGAGAGAGAGAGAGAGAGCATGAGGTGCCACAGTGCAAGCAAGAATGTGATGAGAGGTATAAGAGAGAGACTTTCTAAACTTAAAATACCTTTTTAGAGGGAGAGAGAGAGTATAACATAAGAGAGAGAGAGCTTTTAAAATGGTAACACCTTTTATAAAAGGTGTCTTAACTACATGAACGTGGTTTGTTGGGTTTCTTGGTAAGGTGGTAAACATCTCGTTTAAAATAAAACATAATGCAAAGGAAGTATAGACCATAAGGTCTATACTATAAAAGTAGACTAGCACCAATTTAAACAAAAATAATACCAATTGGTTGAAAATATTTTGTTAAAACACAACATTACCAAAACTTGTAATCTAAGCCAGCTAGTTGTAAGTATTTTATTTTATTTTATTTATTTATTTATTGTTTATATCTATCAACACTAATAATATTATGTTTTAATTTCACAAATTTTAGGGTCGTCACATGTGCATATCCGGGTCCCCACTTAAACCTATCTTAAAAATAGATTTTTTTTAAAAAAAAATTAGGGATTCATGATCTAAGTTAAAATGACCATGAATATGAAAAGAAAATAAAATTTTTAATATTTAAAGTATGATTTTTTTACAAAAAAATTATACACCATTTGCATTCATTTTAGCCATGTGAGTTTTTTATGATCTCAAATTAGAGATGGACGTTAGTGAGTCAATAGAACTCTTGCACCCATGGACTCAGGAATATGTTTCTATATTTTTTTTCCTTGCTATGAACTTTAAAAGTTTAAAAATAATATATATCAAATAGATATATAAATATTCTAAAATCTTGAAAATACATTGATGCACTATTTATTTTTAGTATAAAGTGGTTACATTAATCTTGATCATGAGATGCGAAATCGGGTGGTTGCAATCATTACATTAGCCAAACATAAAAAAGCAAGACTTTCTATTGTCCAAACAATATTCTTCCATACAATTTTTGTAGTGCACCTTTAATAGTACAAGGTTAACATTACATGAGAAATGAGTTGGGCCGTGGTGGTAGCACCTCCACACCTTAGCGATCAAGTTGTGTTTTTTATACCCTAATCACTAGGTTATGGTTTTTATTCTCACCATTAACATCACGCCACCAATACCTTCAAAAAGATAACTCCTAATTTACTTAAAAAATGAGTAAGGGCTTATTTCTCTACTAAAAAAAAAAAAAGGTTAACATTATTTGAACTTTTTCTTTTAAAATGTCATTGAAATACTAACATTCCCTGCTTGTATACTCTTCCATAATCAAAACAACACAAATATCTCTAAGTGTTCAATCATGCACCAATTTCTCTCTCTATCTCCTTCTTCAGCCCCCTTTCTCCAATATTTTCAATTTTGCATTGCATCATGGTGCTCCATTGATGGGACTATTATAATTTGCTACTTATACACATTGAAAAGCCCAACTGCTCATTTCTTAGAGCTCTCGGCCCAGGGTTGTGTAACTGCTCAGTAATGGCTACTGAGAATCAAAAGAGTAGTTTTCCTTTCCAAGGTATTCAAAAAGCAGCCATATGAGCTAGCCATGGTTCTTCCTTTCCATTCTCTAAACTAACGCAACCCCACTTAGAATCTGTACTCACAAGGGGCCCAACCAGAGCCAAAGCCTTGAAATTTTCTGTCTTCTCTCTCTCTCTCAATCAATCAATCAAAAGCCTTCTCTTTCAAGACCCATTGCCTCTCTTTTTGCAGAAGCTCTACTTCCTACAATAAAAAAACGCTACCCATTTTCCTTTTGGTATCAAAGAAGCGGAAAAGCTTTATGCCCACCTATTGTTTTTCTTAATGGAACCAGAGGAAGAGAGAGAAAAAAAGGTTCCGGATGAAGAGATATGGGACAGAGATGGAAAAGCTTCAAGCCCCTCTGCTGATACTCAGAAACTTACTTTCATAGAGGAGAGAGAAAGAAGGGCTCCAGAGGGGGGGAGAGAGGAGAGAGGGAGAAAGGGATCGAGTCCAACAACTGATATTCAAAAACCCACCTTGTCAATGGAACCAGAAGAGAAAGAGGGGAGGAGACTGATTTTGAGCGCAACTCCTTATACTCAGAATCTCACTTTCATAGAGGAGAGAGAAAGAAGGTCTCCAGAGGGGGAGAGAGAGAAGAGAGAGAGAAAGGGTTCGAGCCCAACAACTGATATTCAAAATCCCACCTTGGCAATGGAACCCGAAGAGAGAGAGGAGAGGCCGAGAAGGGTTTCGAGCCCAACTCCTTATACTCAAAAACCGACCTTGTATTCCATTATGGAGGCCCAACATGAAGAAAAACCTGAAGATAGACAGAACCAATCTCCAAATCCCTCCTCTCCTGTTATTAATGCAATTATGAACAGATCTAGCAGAGATGATTTGCCGGTCATGATGAAAGCTCAGTCTGTTTCTGGTGATATCATGGGGCCATCAATCGATGGTCATCGTGGTGCTTCGCCAGTGGTTTCCGGGATCATTAGGCGATCAAAGAGAGGGAAAATTTTGAACAAGGCAGCCTTTGGATTGAGGGTTTTTGCTGCCACAATTTCCTTGATTTCTCTCTCTGTTATGGCTTCAGATAAGCAGAGTGGGTGGAGTGGGGATTCGTTCTTTCGATACAAAGCATTGAGGTAATCAAAAATTTTTTTTATTCATTATGATTTTGATCGAGTTTTACTGGTTTTGTGTTAATTTTATCCTTCCTTGATTGTGATTGCTTTATTTGTTCTACTTTTGGTTCTATGGGAGAAACTTTACTTTCGATGCGCTTGAATTTTATTTAGGTTTAAAAGTAGTTTGTTCTCAGTGGGGTGTTGAGTTAATTCTGTAAGCTGAATTATATCGAATTTTGAATCCAATTTTAGTAATTTATCATTTATTCATTCTTTGTTTGGCGGATTCAAATCGTTTTTAACTACTGATAATGTTTCTGTGTATTCCTTGTCTTATGCCAAATTTCTCTTTGTAAAATGATTTTTTGGTGTTAAATCTTAATTTTAGTTCATTTGTCAATTTCATCTGAGTATAATTTTTCTTTTATCACTAAATATTTTGATAGCATATGTGAAGAAACAATTCTTGGATTTTTGATATTAAATTTTTAAATTTTGCAAAATGGGGAGGTTTTTGTTTATTTATCCTTGTCTGGTTTTTCAGCTTTCAGTCCCTATCTTTTCTTTATGGGTAATTGAGAAAATGGTTTAAAAGACTTTCTATGTTTCTTTTCAAATAGTTTCTTGTTAACCTTGTCAAACAATCTTCTTGGAAAGATAGTCTTCCATTTACTCTGCATTTTTTGATTCAGCAAAGTGTTTCCCTTCCAATAGTGTAATTTTTATGTTCTGGAGCCTTTAGTAAGTAATTGAGATAGTTTTTATTCTCTTTTCCAGGTATTGTTTATCGATGTCGGTTATAACATTTATATACTCGAGCTTTCAAGTGTTTAGACAGGTTCACCAATTTGCAACCAGAAGGGACTTCATCAAGCCCCCGATAAGCTACTACTTTGATTTCTCCATGGATCAGGCATGTATAATTAGTTCTATCAATTTTTAAAATAAATTTGGCAATAGGTAAAGGTTAAGGCAAAAGACCTTCCATTCTTAAAACACATGTATTCCCTGTAATCCTCAATCCTCATCTCCTTGAGTCTTAAAATTATATCTTGATCTTTTTGCAATAATAAGAAAATTTTGAAACTTTTGTTCTACTTGTAGAATGATTTCATGAAGAAAAAGTAACCAGATGTTTGATATGAAGTATCATTAGTCTTTTCAGTGAAAAGTTGCTTTATATGAACTTTTACTGGGTCGCTAAGATAGGAGTTCTATTGAGAAATCCTGCCTATTTATTTGAGTGTGGTGTAGGCACTTTTTAATTTTCTTCTTTGTACTATTTTCAAGGGGATATGTACTATTGACTTACAGGATGTTATTCACTGAAATATTTTTTTTTGGAAAACGTGCTTTTTATGAAGATGTATCAACATATGTGTTGTTTTGTCAGTAATTTGTATCATCCATTTTTTATCAAGCTTTTCAACATATCTGTTAGGGATCCGTAAGTATGTGAACGTTAGATGTCTAATGGAAATCATCAATAGAATTTTTTTTGCACAAATGGATAGACTATTATGTGGACTAGGATAAAGTTTTATCATGTACTTTCGTATAAGGATTTAGTTTTTTTCATTGGGATATATAGTTATCCTCAGATGTGCATATTTGTGGGTTAGTTCTACAAAGAATCAGGGCTGCTCTTTTACATTTTGGTGTGTTTTTTTAAAGGAAAAAGTTTTTAGCTGATGCTCTAAACAATCAAATTAGAGCCCACTTCAAAAATTTCACTACAAGACGTTATTTTGATACCTAAATATCCTCAAATTGATCATCTCGACATCAAGGTGCGTGGACATGAGAAAAAAATGGATTTCAAGTTTTGCAAATAGTGCATCTTGTAATGCATTTTTGGATGGTCAATTTTCAAGATTTTCAAATTTTCGTAGATCTGCTCGATCTACACTATTTTTTAATCTTGAAATTTTATAATTAAAGATGAAAATATATTTTAAGACCATCACAAAGATTTCCAGTATTGAAACTACATTTCTCGATACTATTTGAAGGTGCGCTTTACTTTGATTGTTTAGAGCCTTAGCTCTATACAAACGGCACCCTTCTTTAAAAGGTATTTCTCTATGAAGATTCAGTGAAATGTCTGTTCACAAAGAAAAGTCCATGAGCATGTTGATCTTTCAATGAATGATTGAGTTTTTTCTCATCTTCTTTAGAAGTTAAGATCCCTCTTTCTATTAAATCTAATTTTTTAAGGTAATCTTTTCATTGATGCTGAGTTAAAAAAAAAGAAAAGAAAAGAAAAAAATAACGAGAAAAGCCTTTTGACCGAGATAAGTTATTAAGTTGTTCATTTCATGAGGTACAGAAACACTTTTTCTTTTTATATTTTATTTTACTATTTCAATTTCTCTTTTGTATGCTTTGGCATGCTATCTTGATTGTTACCAGTAACAGAATGGAAATACAATGATAATGCTTGTATGACCCGTTGTCTTCCTTGTCATAGTTCTTTTGCCTTGGAGATCATGTTCATTTTCCTACAATTGTGTTGTACTTCGTTTAAAGCTCTTACGCACTATATTCTATAGCCATCACAAAAGAGAGCTCTTATATTCTATAAACGTTTCTAAGTACATCTTCAGTACTTTGCCTGAATTGATGCCAATACAAATCTTTTATTATAATGGTCAATGCATGAAGAATGGAGGATGGATATAACTGGCAAAGTATTTTTTAACTACATAAATAGGGTAATGAGCATCTGATGAAATGGTGGACAATGATGATCAGAGAGTTGGAACCCATCAGAATGGGACATGACGACAGTGGTGGATCTTTGCTCTTTCTGTCGGTATTCATAGTTTAATCAGATGGCCATGGTTTCATGGTCTATGGCTTTCCATATTTCTTTGGATATGGTAAACTTTCCCGATATGGTTTATCACTTTCCCATTCCTTAAAGGTCTATAATTTAAGTGATCCATAGTGGCTCGCTATGTTGTTCAAGTCACTAAGTAATTATTTCTCCTGCTAGGTACACAATCACATATGTACATGTCAGTGCATGAAATTGTTTATATCAAAAGAAGTTCATACATTTGAGGATTTGTGACCTGAAGGGCTAAATTATGAAAAATCAATGTCATTTCTCTATGATTTTTTTATATTTCACAATGCTATTTATTCCATGTTCTTGTCTCCCTTTTGGACCTGTATATGCCCATGCAAGTTCCAAAAAGTAATATATATGAGAAAAGAAAATGGTTCAACCAAAATTATTTGATACCTATGATATTTTAGTATGGTGATCAGGTCTATTTCTTTGCCATTTGCTCAATATATGTTTTGAAAGATCTCTGTGTTTGAGTTTATGTGAGAATTTCTTTTATCTTGAATTGTAGCAGATTCTCGCATATTTGCTTATCTCCTCATCTTCGGCAGCCGCTTCCTTCACTGATGACATGCAAAGCTATTGGGGAAAGGACCCTTTTACAACCTTGGCTGGTGCGTCGGTTGCCATGGCCTTCTTGGCATTTGCAGCTCTTGGTCTTAGCTCTCTTGTCTCGGCTTTCTACCTCTTCAATCGATATCATTGAAATATTTCAATCTCTCTCCCTCATCAACTGATACTGTTAGAAATATTTTTATCCCACTTTTCCCTATTCTTTGTTATAATCACCCCTCTAGCCACCCAACCCCCAGCAGCGGTAATCTCTTCCTTTCGCCCCCCCCTCCCCCTTCTCTCTCTCTGTCTCTCTCTCTCTCTCTC